GCGGGAGTAAGCAAAGCTACTACGATTACGTGCAATTATTATCATAATAATACAGCTAACGAGACGCAGAGAGGTCTTTGGGCCCATGGGTCGGGCATTGGGTACGTGGGCCTTGCCCGTGTTTCATGATTCGGGTGATTCATTCACCTTTGATGCCACCTGCGTCAGGGAAGGTGGCAAACGTACTATGGAGGATAGGACCGCATTTTTCACATTATTGGGTTGCGGGCCATATCATTGCACGTGTCTCGTTTAAGCACCTTTAGTTCACATTTGATGGGTTGGACAATTTTACTCAAAACTATAAGAGTATTGACTGTTAGTAAACTAGGTCTAATCCAGTGGTAAATAGTCATGATTAGCAAATAAGTGGTTTGAGATTTGAAACTTCATGGCATTTTAGTAGTGTCTATGTGAGAAACTCTCATTTCTTTTAGTTTAGACTATCCCTCTGTTTGGTGTGTTAAGACTGTACTTCTTTAATTAAACATCCGTCCAACAAAGCATGTGTCTCGTCTAAGCTACTTAACAATACGTTTAATTGTTTAATGCGTACAAGAATCATGACAATTGTTTAATATGTTGAGACTAAACGTGTGAAATTGGATAGCAGTCCAACATTTTGTATCTTACAAATCTTACATACAAAAATAAAACTCATAACGACTGACTTGGACTCAACTTCAATCTAATATAACCCGACCATTAAACAAGACAAGACCTTTCGCAACCTTTCAACTAAATTAAGCTTAAAGTTGTAATGGGTCAAACTATAATGCATGAATTAGTAACGTCACACACAATAATTTTTCATTATTTGTTGTTATTTTGTATGATAAGAGGGGTACAATTATGAGCATGGAACCCCCATGCATGCTGTGAGATCTGACCGTCGGTTGAAGAAGGGGGAAAAGATGAGAATGAATGAATTCCAATTCTATTACGTCAGGATGCTCACAGAAGAGACAGGGGCTGCTTGGTTCCTCTAGGTAAAGCTCGCACCGTCTTATTCAGCACCCCATTCATATCATCCATCTCCATCGCTCTGCTAAACAAAGACCTCCTACGATCCTATGGTCAACAGTGTAGATGATAGAGTAGGAGAGCAGTGCAGGGAAGCAGGTGCAGCAGGGGATGAAAAAGGAGAAAAGAGAGAAAAAGCCATCATTAGGATGGGGTGGGCCCCAGACGAGGTGTGGTGGGGGGGACTGTAGTCCGGGTTTCACGGCACAAGGAGACGAGTCTGATTGAGACGCGACCTTCTGATCCTGCTCAGAAGCCCCCCCTCAGTTGTCAGTGATACGTTACGTCCCTTTTATTTTTTTCCCTATTTTCCTAATGTTGATAATTTTTTAAATAAATAAAAAATGCCCCTTTCTATCTCTCTCTCTCTCTCTCTCTGTCTTTTTACTCTTTTCTGGGTCTTTTATTTTGGGGTTGACAGCGCCAGTGAGAAAAAAACCCTACCAGACGAGACCACCACTTGCCAACTCACATTCTTTTTCTTAATCTCCCCCCCTGCCACCACCAACCCACCCTCCCTTTTCCCCACTTACCCCCCCCCCCCCCCCCCCCCCCCCCCCCCCCCCCCCCCCATCCTCATCACTGATGAGATTCCCCTCTGCCTCCTCCTCATTATTTCTACATTATACAATATATATTTGTGGCAAATGGAAAACCAAGCAAAACAATTGATCATTTTGTCTTGCATTGCATTGTCTCTAGGCCGTAATTCTTCTCTTGTCCTTATATAAAATGAGAATTAAATATAGTGCCAAAGTCTTTTTGTTTACTGCTTGTTGACTTGGATAAAGTTCAGGGAGCTTTCGTCAATGGGTTATATATTATAATACACCAAAAACTATATGCTAAAAACTACAATAAGGTTGAAAGTGACACCAAATAATAATAATAAATAGTTGAACTTGGGAAACCAAGAGCCAGCGCTTGAAGGAATTTTAGAAAAGAGGACTCGATTAGGTTTTAAAGGTGCGAAGAATGTACCTTTGATGATGGTCCCATATCACATGGATCTTCCCGGCAATATTGATCAATGCTCCTACTTTAAGGCAACACTCACCTCCCTTACTTTATAAAGTTATGGGAAAATCACGACATGATTTGGAAGTCAATTATAATTATGAACTTTTTGTAAGTAATTTGGAGTTTAAATGGTTAAGAATATTTATTTGTGCATTCGAGATTTTATGTTCGATTCTCTTCTTTCTCAATATCATTTGTATACAAATTTAAAAAACCACTATAAACCTTCTAATATATCAAAATACCGCGACATAATTTGAGACCGAACGATACTATACGCTTATAATAATTAAGTTTGTTCTTCACACATCAGAGAATTGAATGAGTTTGTGATTCCTTTCTTCTGTCACTTTCCAAGTTGAAATTAATGATAATTTCAAATGAGACCTTTTTTATCCTGTTGGCGATTGGGTTAATTAATTTTTTTTTACTGTAGAGGTGAGATACGACCTGACGAATCACTGTTGCAGAAAGTCGCTGATTTCCTTGTCGTTTTTGCTAGACTAGTAGCAGTTTTGCAGTGCAGAGAGAGCAGAAGGGTGGGTTTTGATGAGACAAGTACAGCAGCAGCTACAGAAGGGCAACCTTGGAATTTTATAAAAAATTCCTGAAATGACACATCAAAGCATCAAACATAACATTTATATATCTTTGTATAAAATTGAGGGGAGATCCTCCCCTATAAAATCTCCGCCTCTGAGCCCCCTGATCCTACCCTCTGCATTTTTCTCTGAAAAGCTACTTTCTCTTTTTGTGGTAGGAAATGACTAATATATCATTTACCACAGTAAAAATAAAAAATAAAAAAAATGAGTAAAGTGTGCAAAGTAAAAGGTACATTTAGTATGGGGATTGGTGTGAAGGGGAAAGAGAGAGGTTAAAAAAGAGAAGGCCGTGTGTGATTTGAGTGAGTGAGTCTCCATTTAAACCCCAGTTGTTGCTCTGACTCTGGTTTTAGGCTTTTTCCCCAACTTGGTTGGGTGAAAGGGAAACATCTCAGATCCTTTTCAAAAAATTCCATACTTTCTTTGTTTAAAACCCAACTTGCTTCACTTGCCCTCACATTCATGCTGATTTTGTTACTACTGTTTGCTACCTTCAAAGCCCAAGCGAGATGGGCCCAGATTGGTAATAGTTCGCACCAATTGGGCTAAGCCCAAACTTGTATCCAGATGAATTAAAAGGTTTTTTTCCTTCATTTTTTAATATATATATATAAGAGTATTTCCACCGGGAAGTCCCAGCCTGGGAAGAGGCCCCCTAGGCCCCCAAATGTGTTCCCAACGCCTTCAACGCCCAATTCGTGCACGTCTGGCCATACTGAATTTAATTTTGATTATTAAATTACTTTAATGCCCTATTGAATGTTTTGTGCTTTTTTATGAAGTTTTGGAGTTGGGTTTGTTTTAAGAAATCAATGACAGTTTTGTAATTTAAAAGAAGTTAAAAGTCTTTTTATTATGTTGTAAATGAGCTTTAAGTGTATTTAAAAAGTCCATTTCTTATAATTTTTTTTATAATTCGGGCTCATATTTGGGTATAATAGTGAATCTTCCTATTTTTAAATCATGAATCCGTGCCTGATCGAGTATAGTTGAATATTTACTAATACTATACTCTAAAGTAGAAACTGACATCCATTCATATGATGATATAACAATACACAAACGTCTTATACCAAGTGACCATGTTTCAATACCACCCGATAATTTTTCATATGCATCCACCTTTAAGTCGATAGTTAGGACAACCGTCGAGAATTTTCTCCGACATCAGTCAAACATTGATACCGTAGAACATAAAATAAAATAAAAAGCTAACGTGGGGACCTTACTTTGGCATAATTAGAAGGGACAATGAGACGTGATTGCTTTTTATTACTATTTTCATTTATTTATTAGGTGAGAAACTAAGAAATAAATTGATTTTCTCGCGTCAATTGTGACACCACACCATGTTTTTTTGTTCAAATTTCTGTGAAATTGGTGCAATAATAAAAGTAAGAAAATAATTTCCAATTAAAAAAAAAAAAAAGAGAGTAAGAAATAAGTTTGGAGAACCCATCAACTTATTAATTTTAAATTCTTAATAAATTCCAGCAAGGTCACCTTTATTAGTTTAATCTACAAATCTAGAAGAAGATCCAAATTTCCAAAAAAGAAGCTTCCCTGCAACCCAACACTGACTTATTCCTCCAAACGTGCACGTTACGGATAGCCCATCAAACTCAGATTAATCCATGAAATGGTCAGAAATTGATTAATTAGGTGTAATTAAATAAGTAAATAAACACGCAATTTGACTAATAATCATTGAGTAGATGCCATTACAGAAACAAAGGAATGGTCTGAAAATTGATTAACAATGAATGAGGATCTACAAAAGCACACCGACAACTCCAACCAGCATATTATCCATGTCTCCGCGTGACAAGTCTAACAAAAACATGCGGCAAACACAATAAGCATCAGCCCTCCATCACAACGATCCGATCATCATAACTAGTTATCAAGTAGCTGATTAATTAGAGAAAAAAAAAGAGAAACCATTGTGTTGTCGCCACTAACTTATCCATATCGGATTTATGCGAGTGAGTAATCCTTTTACGTGATTGTTATATTGCCGTGTGTCGTGACATTGTGATGGTTGCATATTAGAATTTTTTTTCATATAAAAAGAAAAATAAATATGGAATTTTTCTCCAACATTTTAACAAAATCACATAAGAATATCATTTAAAGAAATTTTATATGACTATTGGTTCTGATTTCCAACTGTGTAACATAACTGAATCCCTTACAAGAACATCATTATTAATAAATCTAATCTACTTAGTAAATTTTTTTAATGAAAATTAGCACACAAAGAAACAAAATGTAAAGAAAATTAATATTCCCCATTTAAAATGCCAATAAATGTGTTAGTTGGAGTAGAAGACAGAGAATCTCAAAGCAAGTCAACCGTCTATTGCTCTGTGCTTCGCGAAGGTCTACAAAGGCAACACAGAAGCTCCAACGGCGAAGGCTCAAAGGACCCTCTCTATTTTCTTCCTCGTTTTTTGTTAGCTTCTCCTCCGAAAACAAAACCAAAAGAAGCAAAAGGAACCCAATAGCATCAATCATCTATACTAGCAGCTATAGCTAGGATATCTGTAAAAGAAAAAAGTGTGATCTTTTTCGTGTCTGAATTGAACTTGGGTTCAGTGTACATGTCTTTTTCTGGGGAGAGGGTAAAAAGCTTGTTGGGAGATTGTACCCAGAAAAGAAAATATCAGTCTGGGACAAAATCTCTGTTTTCTCACGAGCCTTCATATTGAGTTTTGTTGAGGTTCTCTGCATTTCAAGACTTTGTTTTGTTTTGCTTGTTGAATTTGTTTGAAAGCTGGGGAAATAGAGATTTGGGAAACTTTTGTTTGGATGGGGGTTTGCTGGAGCAACAAAATCAAGGCTGAAACTTCTTCTCATACAGGTATTGCTATTCTTTCTTGGAAAATGAACTCTGTTACTACTTTCATCAGAGAATATGAAAATTATGATTTCCTGAATGTCTTCTTTTGTTTGGTTAGATGGGTTTGTTATTTTGAGGTAGTTTTATAAGATTTTAATTGAAGCTGTAAGTTTTTGTTGCTAGGACTTTGTAAGCTGACCAAGGATTTTGATAATGCTTAAGAACATTTTCCTCTATGCTATAAGCTAGAAAGTGCTTTTAGGGAACTATCGAATTGGTAGCACCATGACTGTTCAAGGTTTTGTTTTGGAAAACATTATTCTGGTGATGAAAGTTAGAAGTACAGTATGTTTTCACTTTTCACCTCTGCCTATTGAAGTGAACATTTGGTAACATAGGTCCATTGGATTACTTTCTCTGTAGGATTCAATTCTAAAAATGGGAGTGCTTCAAATAGCAAGGCGTCATCAGGTTCCATGCCTGTCACTCCTCGGAGTGAGGGTGAGATCTTACAATCTACCAAATTGAAGAGTATCGGCTTCAGTGAGCTCAAAAATGCCACAAGAAACTTCCGTCCTGACAGTGTACTAGGAGATGGCGGTTTTGGTTCTGTTTTCAAAGGTTGGATTGATGAAAGTTCTCTCATAGCTACCAAGGCCGGTACTGGCATGGTGATTGCCGTGAAGAGGCTCAACCAAGATGGAATCCAGGGTCACAAGGAATGGTTGGTGAGTGCAGTCATCTCCTTTTCATCTTTATGAGTTTTGATGGTCTGGTTTATTTACTTGTGTGCATTGTACGCTTAAAACTTCATGTCATAGTAGTTTATGGCTCTTTAAATTAGGAGAAACTTGCAATAAGAAGTTCTCCATATCACCTAACTGTAACTCTTCTATGACTTGCAATTCTTGGCTAGAGTATTGATTGTCAATTTGGCATGATTTTTGGAGCATTTCTCAAATAGCAGAGTAATTAACACTACATTTTGGACCTGCAGACAGAAATCAACTATCTTGGGGAGCTGCATCACCCTAATCTTGTGAAATTAATTGGTTATTGCTTAGAGGATGATCATCGGCTCTTAGTTTACGAGTTCATGCCTAAGGGTAGCATGGAAAATCATCTATTCAGGAGTGAGTTTCTTACATCCTCGATAGTGGCATTCATTTTGAACCTTTCTCTCTCTCCCCCTACTTTTTTCTCCTTAGAGATAGCACACTGCAAGTTGCATATAATAACTTGTTACTGAAGCATTAGCTACTGCTGCAACAGGAAGTTCTCACTTTCAGCCACTATCTTGGAGCCTTCGAATGAAAATCGCCCTTGGTGCTGCAAGGGGACTTGCTTTTCTCCACAACGCTGAAACACAAGTCATACATCGCGACTTCAAGTCGGCTAACATTTTGCTCGACTCGGTACGTAACTCAATAGCATTCTTTAATCAGATTCAGTATGGCTGATCATTTGCCTCCGTACTGACTTATTATTACAATTTCAGAACTACAATGCAAAGCTGTCTGATTTTGGATTAGCCAGGGATGGCCCAACTGGTGACAAGAGCCATGTCTCTACTAGGGTCATTGGAACTCAAGGATATGCTGCTCCTGAGTATTTAGCCACAGGTACTACTTTCATATTCATTTCTTCTCTAAAATCCTTGACCTGTATGGAACCTCTTTGGCTTCTAGAAACCAAGCACCACTCCAAGTTTCATGCTTTAGATGACATTTCAATTTTATGAGATGCACTTTTGCAGAGCTAAAACTGTTTGTCCAAAATAATTTAAAATTTGTTATTCATAAAGCATTTGCCAAGTAAGGTTATACCTCATACTGTTGAAGAAGTACGAATTTGTGTAGCTTATCAACCTTAGTTGACAATAGTTCTGCATTCATGAAGTTAGTCTATTAACATTACCCTCAGAAAATATCTGCCCTGTAAATCTTAAAAGAGGATAGGTGTGGGACAAGTTCCATTAGTTAATTCCATGAAGTACACCAATTCCCAGTAACTTCTCCAACATCAAAAGCCCAAAAATAATCTGTCAAATAACCTACGTTCAATTGTTGACCACTGATGGAATGCGGGTGCAATTGCCAAAGCTTGGTATTATAGAGCCAAAGTACAGTTAGTGCTTACAATTAATTGCATGTTTTATTCGGCAGGTCATCTTACTGCCAAGAGTGACATATACAGTTTTGGAGTTGTTCTACTAGAAATGTTATCTGGACGACGAGCTATAGATAAGAACAGACCAACTGGAGAACACAACCTGGTGGAGTGGGCAAAACCATACCTGAGAAACAAACGCCGGGTTTTTCGTGTTATTGATTCTCGACTTGAAGGCCAGTACTCACTTAATCGGGCTCAAAAGGCTGCCAACCTTGCACTTCAATGTCTTTCTATAGATTCTAAGTACAGACCCGACGTGAACGAAGTGGTAACAACACTGGAGGAGCTTCAGGAGACAAAGGACATGCAGAAAAGTACTCAGAAAGAGAACCATGTAACTAGTCATGGCCATTCTAATGGTGCTCCTAATGCTTCCAGAGTGACTGCTTATCCCAGGCCTTCTGCATCCCCACTTTTTGCTTGAGAGAAATTTTTCATGCTGCCCAAGATACAAGGGAAGGTGTTGAGTAAAGTCTTGAGAGTTCAAATTTGTACATACCCAAGATTGTTCTTGTAGAGTTTGAAGTGATTGTGTATAAATATGTATTTGAGCTCATTGAGTATATTTGGTTCCTTTAGAAATTATGTGACCTTGTTAAAATCCTCCATGAAGGCATAGTCTAGATATTGGATTTTTTTTTCCTTCACTTTTTTTTTTTATTATTCGAATGGATCAAAATTGTAACAACCATTCCTCCTTCCCGCAAATGTACCTCCTAGTTATGCTTTCCTGGGACTCGAACCCAAGCTAATAACCAAAGACTTGAGTCATAGCCAAAACCGACTGGGCTGTCACAGTTTTTTAGTTATTTGTTGGTTTAATTGTACTTATGCAATGTACTTAATTGTTTAAATTGAGATCACAGCGGCAAACATGCCTTACGAGTGAAATCAGAGTGTACTAAACTGAAATTGAACTCTTTTTAAATATGAAGTTGACATCTAACCATGACAAAGAAGAGGAGGAAAGTCGTTCTCTTATGAAGTTACCAAAACTTGTAATTAAAACAATAGAGACTATTTACTTGAATAAAAGATGGTCAAGTGACATCCTTGAGAGCAATAAAGTGTAATTTGAGTAAGATACCCATGGACTACTATAGGCAAAGATAAACCAATAAAGCCAAGTGGGAGAAGTATGGAAGTAGTGTTGTGATACCACTGCATACTAGGTCTTGGGATCGGGATCTCTGAAATCTTTATTGGGTTGCTGACAAGTAAGTCCACCTTCTTCAAACCTCTGATGCAGTTCATTTGCTGCAGCCGTTGAGATATTGGTGTTAATTCTTCTTCCTTAGTTTTATTGAGGTTTCTATCATATAGGCCAACATTAGTAAGCATGATGAACACAAGAGCAAGATATATCTTACTCTTATGTTCATCTCGGAAAACATTGCAAAAATTGAACATATCAACATCATTGTTTTCGTGTTGAGATATTGGTGTTAATTCTTCTTCCTTAGTTTTATTGAGGTTTCTATCATATAGGCCAACATTAGTAAGCATGATGAACACAAGAGCAAGATATATCTTACTCTTATGTTCATCTCGGAAAACATTGCAAAAATTGAACATATCAACATCATTGTTTTCGTGTTTCTGAGAGACAGTGATGGTAGTTTCATTTTTCAAGTTTTATTGAGGATACTAGCCTTCACAAAATTTTAAAAAACAAAATGAAAATAAGGTTGTGCCAGAAAGCGGAAGTCAAATAAACCCTGGAGCCCTGAAGATGAGGACCAAACCAAAATCTTTGTTGGAGCAAATCTCAACACCGACAACAAATCGTCATCCCAAAAAATCGACATTGTCGGTTCACCGAATGAACGATTTGGTGCGGCACGATTTCGATTTTTGAGGAGGATAGAGTCGAGGCGGCGAGGAAGAAGAGAGATAATAATAAAATGAAGATGAGAGATAATGAGAAGGGAAAGATAGTCACGAAGAGGAGAGAGAAGAAACGACTACAAAGGAAAGAAAAGCTTTTCTTTTGAGCAAATGTGGTGGTTGCACTCTCAAAATAAGGATAAGATGACTTTATAGCTATACCAAGCAAGAAATAAGAATAAGATGACTTTATAACTATGCCAAGCAGGAAATAAATGACTACAACAAAACATAAACTCACGCAAATGCACCCAATGGACATGTGAAATCGGTGATGACATGCGTATGTGTAATACACTATGCCACTAAGCAAGAAAAGTGGATGTGGAAAGAAATTTGTGATCCCAAAATTAAAAGGTCTATGGCAAGGGAAAAAAAATTGAGCGAGATAAGGGGAAGAGTGTATGTTAGTAAAGTGATTGAATTGATATGTAGGGGTATTTTAGGATAAACGACCTTATTATTTATCAAAATTTTACCGCGAGTGAGAACACTGGCGGGAACTAGCAACAACCTGCAAAAAATAATAATAATGTGATTGACCTCCATTTTGCTCATAATATTTATTTTACTTTTATTTATTTATTTATTTATTTATATACCTGCTTCTAGTATGAATATTATGAAGATATCCTAATTCATCTAATTTGGATTTAAAAGAACCCAAAATTAGCTATCTGTCATTTATTTAATTATATTTTTGAGAAATCCCTTTTTTTATTAGCCTTTTGGATGAATTTGATAGATAAAAAGCCAAATCTGCCAGCTAGGTTAAATTTAGAGGGAAAAGAACATCAACTGGGTAGATTTAGACAAAAAATAGCTGCTTGGTTTTTGAGTTATCGACTTGTCTATAGACAGGGCATTTTGATGTCATGTACGGTCATGGCCCTAGAATTAACACAAAAGAAAAAGAAAATGGGAGCCTGAGTAAATTCCTAATATTCAGGAAAAGGTAGCTTGAGAATGGTAAGAGAGATTGGGAGTGAGAAATTTTGGCAATAAATTTTCAAATCTTCTCTGTAATTCTCAATCTCTCTTCAATCTATATCTCTCTCTCTAATCTTTGCTCTATAATATATATATATCTCTCTCTCTCTCTCTATCAATCTTCTCTGTAATTCAGTTGGAATGCTAGGGTTTTGGTTGAGCTTTGTACCTCAAATCTTGAATTTTCAGTCTGATCCATACCCAAAATTTCAGCAGTGTAAATGTCAAATGGGTCGTGTTGGGCCAAGCCGACCTATTTAGAGTCTGCCAATTTAATAAACGAGTCTTGCCGGGCCCGTCCATTTATGAAAATCATCAATCTCAGCCTTAGCCCATATGGGATCGGGTCGTGCTTGTGACGAGCCTTTAAACAGGCCAATATGGGACCACGCCATAAGATTTATTATTTGTTGAAAAAAGAGGCCAATAATTTTATTTAAAGTATATTTAAATAGAAAATGGCTAGAATATTGTTTGAGTTTTAAAAAATTGAAACTTGAAAAAAAAATCATTATTTTATATAAAAAAAAGCCATTTTAATATATATAAAAATTATTTGAGAAAAGAGATATTCTTGAATTTAAGATATAAATATAATAATATTATGTATTACTTTTTATTCTAAAAAAAATATAATTTAATAAATGGGCTTTAAACACGAACCTTGACCATGACAGTTGAAGCGGGCCTTGCTTGTGTCATTGGTGATCAAAGATTTGAAAATACTTTACTTGATTTAGGTGCTTCTTTTCATCTAATGCCTTATTCGTTTATTCGTGTTATGTTTGTGTCAAACCGTTTTTCTTAACGGGCACGACACTTAGGAAAACAGGTGAAATAAATCAAATACGAACACGACCTGTTGCAATTCACGAATCACATGACACAACCGTTTCACCCGTTAAGAATTAAAAAATTTAAAATTTAAAAAATATAAAAAATTAAACTGAAAAATTAAACAATAAAAAAAAAATCAACTAGCACAGTGCGTTGTCGTCCAGACCCTCATCACCGCCGTCATCACACTCTCATCTCTCATACTCCCCAAATTTCTTCGTCATCTCAATTGTGTCATCGTTCGTGAGCCAAAGTTGTGCCCTTGCTGTAGCCAGGAGCCACCGAGTTGGCGCCGCTTGCCACCTAATGACTTGTAGTTGTGCTTCTGGAAGGCCTTTACCAACCCAACACCAACAGTAGCTCCCAAGCTTTGGGCCACAATGTAGAGAAGATTTGGGCGCCCCCCGCTGGGGGGGGGGGGGGGGGGGGGGGGGGGGGGGGGGGGGGGCCTGGGGGGTTTGAGGAGAGAGAAAGATAAAAAGAAATATATGAAATTACAAAAATATCCATGTCCTTAATGAATTAACGGGTGATTCGTGAATAACACTGATATGACATGTTTGCTTAACGGATGGCTAACGAGTCAACCAATTATCAACACAACCCATTAACTCAGACCTGGATACTAAATTTTTCTTTTAAATTCTGGTCGTGTACAATGTGGTCATATCTAGAAATTAGGTGATCTTAAAACAACTTATATGAGCATGCAATTGGCAGATCATTCCATAAGGTACCCAAGAGGAATCCTAGAAGATGTGCTTGTGCAAATGAATGATCTTATCTTACCCGATGATTTCTTAAGTCTAGAAATAGAAGAGCTTCTATTCCAGCTATGGATCTTCCATTGATTCTTGGTCATCCTTTCATGGCCACCGCAGGTACCAAAATTGATGTTCAAACAGGAACCTTGACCATGAAAGTTCAAGGGGAACCATAACCTTCAAGGATTGATGCTTTGAAACTCCTAATGAAGAGCATGAATGTTTTTGTATTGATACATTACATCAAATTGTACAAACTAATTTCAATAAAGTTAATGGTACGGATTCATTAGAGAGGGTTTTGACACAAAATTCTCAAGCCTCCGACATTGATGAAGATGAGATACATGAGGTTGTGAAATTCCTCAACGCATTACCAACCGTGTCATGTAAGTATCCTCCTACCTTTGAGCCTTTACCTGTCAATACTGAAAACCTTATTCCTTCTCTTGTCAGAGCACCAGAATTAGAACTCAAACCATTACCATCACACCTTAAGTATGTTTACTTAGGTGAATCAAAGACAATGTCCGTGATTATTGCTTGCAACTTCAGTGAGCAAGATGAGGAGTATTGCGGACATCAAGGAGATAAGCCCAACAGAACGCATGCACATATTGGAAGATGATTCCAAACCCACCATAGATGCTCAACTCAGGTTAAATTCAATCATGATCGAGGTGGTGCGCAAGGAAGTTCTTAAACTATTGGATGTGGGTATCATTTATCCTATTTTCTATAGTAAGTGGGTAAGTCCGATCCAAGTAGTTTCGAAAAAGTCGGGCATCACTGTTGTGAAAAATGAGGGAAATGAACTTTTTCCTTCTTGTGTTCAAACGAGATGGCATGTTTGCATTTATTACATGAAGTTAAATACTGCTACCGGTAAGGATCATTTTCCATTGCCATTTATTGATCAAATGCTTGAATGTCTTGCATGTCACAATTACTACTGTTTCTTGGTTGAATATTCAGGATACAACCAAATTGTTATAGCTCAGGAAGATTATTACAAGACAACATTCACATGTCCTTATGACACATTCGCTTACCGGCGTATACCCTTCGGATTATGCAATGCATCGGCCATATTCAAACGATGCACGATGAGTACTTTCCTTGATATGGTAGAAAAGTTCATCAAGGTATTTGTAGTTGACTTCATTTGATTCATGCCTTAACAGTTTGTCTCTATTTTTGAAAAGATGCCAGGAATGCAACTTAATCCTTAATCGGGAGAAGTGCCATTTTATAGTACAACAAGGAATTGTTTTTGGGTATGTGATTTCAAGTAAGGACATTGAGGTTGACAAGCCCAAATTTGATGTGATACGTAGCTTGCCACCTCCATCATCAGTGAAAGAGATCCAATCCTTCTTAGGACATGGAAAGTTTTCTAGAAGATTCATCACCGAAGCACTGGCAGAACTACTCCAATGGCTTAGGTGGGCCGTAGAACAGTGAAATTTTTGGGGTTAATTTTGGGTGTGTTTCTATGTTTAAATAGTGCTTGGGTTTTTTTATAAATACATGTCTAGGATTGGGTTTATTTATAAATTTGTATTTTAAATATAGCATAGTATTTATTAGCCTATTAAAATTCAAAAAAGTCCAATTCTTTATCAATTTAGTGCAGGGCAACAATAAAAATAACATATCAATTTGATAACCATCTCCCCTTACAGAGACCACGACTTTTTGTTTCCTCTATCGCAACAAACACTTTGACTTCGACTTCGACTGAAGGGTAAAGTCCTTACCCTTATCTCTCCAACTCGTTAAAACAACTCTTAGCAACCAAAATGAAGAACGAGTTTCTAAAATATATATTTACGGATTCAAATGTAATAACAAAAAATTTCAATTATTTCAATGATTGCATGACACAACTTGAAGAGGTACACTTTTAATTATGCTATTGAAGTGTTTTTTGGTCGCATTTAATATGTTTTGGTTTTATGGTAAAGTTTATTAAAAATTAGTCAATGAAGATAGGAACTAGTGTGATTTATACGACTTAATGTATACTTTTATTTATAAAACAATTATAGAAACGATAAGTACAAAAAAAAAAAAAAAAAAAAAATTGATCATTAGATTTTAAGCTAACTTTAATTAGTCCATTCGTTAAAAAAATTCTTTGCTCCGCACTTGCACCGAAGTGCATGCACTGAAGGATTTACTGCGTGAACATTAACTTTAGGGAAAATGAAAAGAAGAATTGCTCCAACAACAACAACAAAAAACAAACAAACAAACAAGAAACGAAGAAGAAAAAAAGAAGGTTGACATAGGTTCAGAGGGTTAATCCCAATAATAATACAAAATGGGCTCGTGTTGCATCAATTGTTTGTGGGAAAGTAAAATATTGGAGGAAGAATCGAAAGTGACGACCGCTTCTCTGGGTTTGTTAAAACTCGGCCACCCTAAAAAATAAACAATATTAATAAATTAAATTAAAAGGTTTCCAACGCTTGCTGATGTGGAAATCTTTTATTAATCTAATCAGGAAGCTAGTATACTAGTAGACTAGGGATTCCATGCCCTTTTCTAATCCATATTCATATTCCTATAGGGTAAATAATTCTAAACAAAGTTACTGGTCCCAGTAGCCAGTAGGGCTTTTATTCATGTTCTTGTTGAAATAGAACTTGGACTTTATATATCCCCTTGGTTCTCCCTACGGTTTCTATCGATCGATCTGTTACAAATCTGCTGCGTGTTCTGAGTCAGAATGGATGACGAATCGAGTGGTACGGTGGTGAAGCTGCTAGTTCGTGGTCGAAAACGATATCGAATAAAGTCATATACTTCAGAGCCAGAAAAGAAGAAAATTAGGAAGGTATTACATGAAGGCGTCCTGGTAGAAATTCTCTCAAAACTGCCTGCCAAGTCTGTACTCAGGTTTAGACGCGTCTCAAAAGAGTGGTATGCTCTCACCAAAACTTCTTATTTCATTGCTAGACATGACCTTCATCGTCGCTCTCGCTCCGCTCAGAATCATGGTCTTCTCCTTGTCTCGAAATATCTCACCAATGAAAAACCTGACAGGCTTCTAATGATGTCATTGCATCCTGATGATGAAGAATCAAATTTTTTGCCTATTTCTTTCCTCCCCATCCCGGAACAGATAACCTTAAGCCGCTGGAAAATTTTTGGCTGTGTGGGATCTAGTAATGGTTTAGTTTGTTGTCATCTGCCCATTGAGAATGAGAATGAAAAAGAGAATAGTACAACTGCAGAGGTGGAGGAGGAGGAGGGAGATGTAGAAGAAAAGGAGGCTGCTCCTGCTCCTGCTCCTGCGCATACTGATATATTAGTAGTATGGAACCCGGCAACAGAAGAATTTAGGTATCTCCCGCAACCACCTATTAATCCTTTTGAGAAGGAGGAGGGCATAGGCATACAACGGGATCGTCACAGGAATTATGTTTTAGGTTTTGATTTCTTACCAGAGATTAGTCAATACAAAGTGGTGAGAGTTTTCCCGGCACCTCATCCCGGTAATGATCCCGATTCCGATGATGATGCTGATGGAAAAGTTGCCATTTTCCAAGCCCAAGTGTTGCTCCAAAGTGCAAATTCATGGAGAGATGTCAAAGACAAATTAGAGTTTCCATCATGTAAAAGTACTTGTCTAACATGTGATGCGATTACCTTGAATGGAGTGACCTATTGGTTGGTAGAGCAAACGTCGAGCGAGTTCTATCTTGTGTCATTCAATTTACGTGATGAGGTTTTTCATTTGATACCACTACCAATAGAATGGCGTCTTCTTGCTGTTCAATATTGTTTACATCCATGGAATGGTTCAGCTGCCATTTTGACTAGTTATTCAGAAAATGGCGATTGGGAGCGAGTGCTTTGGGTGTTGGTTCAAGATCAAGAATCTAAGAAGCCAGCTTGGGTTCAACAATTTAGAACCAGATCGAAAGTATTTTCGGAATTACGGTGCGTAGGAGCTTGGAAGGATCAATATATTTTCTCCAAACGATCACGAAATAGCTTGTTTGCGTATGACCCTAGAAGCGACACAAAGAAAAGGCTTTTTCCCCACGACCGAATCTGGTTTTGTAAAGGAGTGGATTATGTGGAGAGCCTACTTCCAGTCTAGACCTAATTAGTTAATTTGTATGTAGTTCTATCTATGTGATCAATGTTGTCTCACACGTATACGTAAGTGGACATACGTACGAGGAGATATATACATACATATGTGGATCTATATAAATTAATTCTAGCTATAGGCTGTTGTTTGCATTTTATGTACATGTATGTAAGTATGTAGTAATTTACTCTAAAGTGCTATTTCATATATATATATATATATGTATATAGTGGCGGAGTCAGAAATTTATGTGAGAGGGGGCACAATTAAAAATTCAAACTCTTTTTACTTTCATTGTTGTTACTTTTTGTATAAATAACCTAACATTCATTCATAATAATAAAATATATGCAACTCAAAAGAAATTTAGACTTGAGAATAAAAGGGGAAAAAAGGGAAAAAAAGGGAAATTTAAGAATTTAAAAGGAATTTCATAATATTACTATAATATTACTATAATTAAATATCCATACAACAATATTTGAGGAGGGGCACATGCTCTCCATGGGCATGCATTGGCTCCGCCACTGTGTATATATTTACTCTAAATTGGTATTGGTACATTTTTGTGACATCTGTTAGATTTAATGCATTAGTTGTTGTAAATATATTAATGTGCATGAGAGAGATTTGTTGTGGTACATCCACTCTAGTATAATGCAATCCTTAGTCCATGCTCCCTTTAAGCTTTAATTAGGGCATCCTCGGGAATTTTTGGGTCTCTATCCTATATATTTATTTCAAAAAAGAACAAGACACCAGCGGAACAAGAGGTGGCTAAGAAGGCCACCACACAAAATAGAAAGGCTGAAAAAACTCTACATTACAAAACTATGGCTTTCCAATCTAGATGGATGAGCTGAAAGCAAAGAAAAATTGTTAGTATATAAATTGAGGTAAAAAAGCACTTTCTTCCCATTTTCCTCCATTTTCTTGGAAACCAAACGGAACACGAAGTGCTCAAGAAACCGTCGATCGAAACTTTTTGGCTGTGAATGAAAAAGAGAATAGTACAACTGCAGAGGTGGAGGAGGAGGAGGGAGATGTGGAAGAAAAGGATGCTGCTCCTGCTCCTTTGCATACTGATATATTAAATGCATGGTTTTTTACAGGACTGGATTATGTGGAGAGCCTACTTCCAGTCTAGACCTAATTAGTTAATTTGTACGTAGTTCTATCACTACTACATTTTACAAGCGCGTGGGTGTCCAAAGCGATAACAATAGCCGGAAAATTCTAAAAACTAAGGCCAAGGTTCCTACCCTAGGTTCACAACATCAATTGGAGGCACTTTTGTTCTCGGACCTATCCCGAAAAATGGCCGGAAGTGGCCGGAATTTAATTTCAAAAACCGGCCAAAACCTAGGGTTTAAATTCCACAAACCTATTCAAACAATTATCCAAATCCTAATTAACCATCAGCTAGAGCACAAAAAATAGTCCAGAAACCATACCTCATGCGTCGGAATTGGTGGCCGGAAGAGAGAGAACGAGGCCGGCGAAGAATCTGTCAACCGAAGCAATTTTCGGCGGCACCTTCGATGGTGATGGCGGGGGAACGTCTGAGCTTTGAAGATGGTGGCGGCCCGGTCCTTTTTCCGGCGGAACAGCGGGCTGAGGTGACGGCGAAGAGAGATGCAGTCTAGGGCAGAGAGAGGAAGTGAGGAAGAAAGGAGGCTGTCACGATTTTTCTGAAAATTAAACGGACTTTGCGCAACGAAGAGTACATTGTGTCGCGCAAAGTCCATTTTAATCAACCTTGAGCGACGGGAGCAAAATAATAACGTCGCGCAAGGTAATTTTCCACCCAAATTTTCATTAGATTGCGCGACGAACAAATAAAATCGTCGCGCAAGGTGCGTATTCAGCCAAAATTTTGGTCACCTTGCGCGACGAGTGGATAAAACCGTCGCGCAAGGTTGTTATTCCGCCAGAAATTTTTGGGTTTAGTGTTTATTGAAGGGACTTTTGCGAGACAAAGAGGAATATCGTCGCGCAAGATTATGATTGCCAAAAATTTCGACTAAGTGTTCCTGAGGGGGGGGAGTGAAAGGGAGTGAAAGGTCTGGATGATACTTAAGTGGACATACGTACGAGGAGATATATGCATACATACATATATACACACATAGGTGGATCGATATCAATTAATTCTAGTTATAGGCTGTTGTTTGCATTTCATGTACATGTATGTATGTAGTAACTTACTCTCAATTAATTCTAGCTATAGGCTTTTTGAACCACCGTGTTCATTGATTTTGTAGAACACAATTAGATGTCTAAATAGTTTCTGATTTGTCTAATTTTTTGCAAAAACGATCTATGAATGAAGACCTAAAAAATAGATTGTTTGGATTGTTGAAAAAAAATTTGTAAAGTACCCTAAAAGGCGTCCCTTAAATATTTATTTGAGGAATCCCTCAATACAATATATATATATAGGCAAAATTGTAGCAATGGTCCCTAGACTAAGTCCCAACTTTACTTTTCGTTCCTCGTAACTAATCCACATATTCGTACCCCGTAATGGAGAATCCTCATATAATATATATACATATATAGCAAGAGGAATGCTAACAACCTTTTCTCTAACCTTTTCCTTTGGATCTTCTCCCTTTTTTAAAACAATATCATTAATATATTATACAAACTAACTTTTACTTTCCAAGTTTACCCTTATTAAATGTATTCAATTTATCTAAAAAAATTTCACAGGTTTATTACCATCTTATTAATTTTTTTCTAACGTCCATTTAAAAAAAAAATGTGCTTTTAAGAGGAAATGTCCAATTTTTTTTTTTTAAACACAAAATTAGATAGGAAAAAAAAAAAAAGTCCTTCGTCTTTAAAAAAAAAGGGACATTTCCTCTCTTTTGGAAAAAGCAGATATTTTCTTTAAAAAAATAATTGACGTTTATAAAAATAAATTAAAAATTTTTAAAAAAAAAGATAGTAAGAAAGTTGTAAATTTTTTTTGGAAAAATTGAATACATTTAATAAGGGTAAACTTGAAAAGCAAAAGTTAACTTGTATAATATATTAATGACATTGTTTTAAGTGTAAATAGAATGACACATGTCAAACAAAAAAGGGAGAAGATCCAAAGGAGAAGGTAAGAGAGAAGGTTGCTAGCATTCTCCATATGGCAAAATTGTAGCAATGGTATTTGGACTAAGATCAAACTTTACTTTTCGTCTCTCATATTGCTAAATTATTACGGTGGTACTTTAATTATGCCTCCACTTTTAGAAATCGTCCTTTTCATCATCTCAGTCAACTTTTCCATTAAAAATGATGACCTGGCATGGATAAGTCCTACTTGGTATAGGCAAAAATGTATTTTCACACAAAAAATTTAAAAAATAAATCTCCTCTCTCTCTCTCCCCCCAATTTCTTATTTCCCCATTCTTCCCATGGGAAATTTCTTCCCCCTTCCATTTCTTCTTCCCACCCCGATTTCAATGTTAATTAGCTGGGGTGTAAAGGATAATTACCATAACCCAATAAGATTGAAGTCGTGCAAGCCAAAATGGCGCAGGCTATAGCGAACTTGTTTGTATTGGGTTTATGCGGGGGATCAAAGTCTGCAATACGATGGTCGTTCTAGAGTTTTGGGGAAAGTTCTTCCCCCTCCCATTTCTTCTTCCTCCCGATTCCTCTTCCTCTCCCCCTGCTTCCCAACCCCACCCCCCCTCCCCC